GGGGGTCAAGGATGTGATTGTTAGGGCAGATTGCAGACATTGGAGAGCTTCCTTATATAAAGATGAAGCGTCAGAATTATCAATTACTCTCTCTCCCTCTCTCCCTCTCTCCCTCTCTGTGTGTTAAGTTTGAACAACTCTCTGTAAAGGACAAATATTAAATTAAAGGGTCGGTGTTGACCCAAACTAGCATTGCTCATTTGCTACTTCCGAACTTGAAAAAAGGGAGCCTGATCAGCTCAATCTTCAAGCTGGTAAGCAGCAAAGTCCAAGTTTTAACAACTTCATGAGCCAGATTAGTTAAAGAAGCATAAGCATGGCTCGTGGTATAAATATTAGATATTTCCTACAAAAAGCGCCACTTAAAATTAAATGGACTTGAGCTAAAAAACGAAAATCTCTCTTATTTAAGTCCTTCACAGGGAGGGACGAGTAATACAGACACAAAAATATGAGATGGAGCGAGAGAAGAGTAGAGAGAACAGAACCCAATAAGGGTATATCCCTCCTCAGCCATGACAACGAGGAAATGGCATCACTACGAACTTCATCAGTCCCACCTTGCAATGGATGCCGTCATGCTCTCCGCAAGCGAAGTAGTAAGGCTGCCACCTCTTTAGCACAAACTCAAACCCACTCCCACCTCCCGCCGAAACATTCCCAACAAGCTTCGCTCTCCTCAGGTCGCACCTCAGAAAGCTCCAAAAGTTTCGCAGCAAGTATACGCTATGAGGGAAGGTGGTGCTGTTGGGCGGATCGTACTCGAACACTGAAACAAACAAGCAACATTACAACCTGAAGCAGCCCACATAGCTCAGTAGCTATGAGCTAGGTTCATTACCAAAAGAATTGAATGTTGAGTGCTTAATTAATTACCTAGAGTATCGTTCAGGTAGAAGGGGCCATTTTGAAAAGCCCAGTCGGTGTAGTTGAAGCCAAAGTGCCAACCTTCAGACCCACCCACAACAACCCTTCTTGCCATGCTAACTGCCAACACTGAGGCAGTTACTAGGATGATGATTCCTGCATAACTAGCTCTGCATTTCATTGCCATCTCTGCTGCTCTCAACTCTTTCGATAATAAGCCTCAGAAGACAAGTCTGTATAAATTGGATCGACGGTTGACAAGGAGGTCTGAATGAGGTATTTATATAGGGAGAGATCATCAGAAATGCAGCACGTAAAGTAAGAGCATGTAAAACGACCTGAGAAGGCTGAAACCACTTTTTTTTTTTTTTTTCTATTTGGCTCTTTGTATGGGTTGGTAAGAATAAGACCTTTCCTTTGGGCTTTGGGTTGAAATTGAATACTTGGAATTCAACGTAGCCTTCCACTTATCACACTTATACCCCTTCTGCACCCCTATTTTCATCTATACATAGGGAGACAAGACAAGGGTATGAATGCAATTTTAGAAAGTTGACCGGATCGGTTTTGGCTTAATCATGTCAAGTTTTAGGCGTGCATCCATTGATCCATTCTACTTTAGACCGAACATTCTGGTTCTGCTGCAAGTCCACAGTCGTTTAGGGCGCTTGGTAGTGCTCCATTAATTAAGCACATCAAAGGATGAGAGGAAGTGGCGCCATGTGGGTTGGTGATAGTTTTCAGTTGGTTTGAGCCAAGCCTCTCTACTTTCTACAAACTCCAAAGTCTGAAGACTTCGCTGTTTTTATGGAATTAAAAAACATGATCACGTTAGGGCGAATTCTATACTCTTTCCATGTTTGGTAGAATAGACTATAGAGTGCTTTGTGATGAACATTTGCTAAGCATGGCGTCAGCATCTATGGGTCGGCTTCACTGATGGGCCCCAAGCCTTGGCAAGCCGCTCGAGACACGATGGACTTGACTTTATAAGGATTAGACTCTCAATGGAAGCCCAGAAATTGCGTTTTCAGATTTATCTTGGGCTTATCTATGTTATCCTCCATATTTTATCTTTTATACTATTTTATGACTCATTTACTTGCATATTTCTACCACATGTATATAAGATGTATTCAATTGAAATCCATATAAACACACCCACCAGGCGTAAACCGGCGTGTGAACTTTTCTCTCAACCTTCAACTATTTTATGGTATCAGCCATATCAGACCTACATCAAAACACCATGTCAACTCCATCCATTACCCACTCCAGGTCATCTGAGAGTCAAACTATTACCCAAAGCGGAAGGATACTAAATCTTCTAAACACCTTTGTTGTTCGTCTAGATGGAACCAATTATTTGCTTTGGAAGTCATCCATTCTTCCAATTTTGAGAAGAAGCCATCTTTTTGGTTTCGTTGATGGCATAGAAAAATGTCCGCCCAAGCAAGGCAACCACATTGACACTATTGAAGCATCTATTGAAGTCACCGTAAGCTCGGCCTATCGAGACCGGGTGCAGCAAGATCAACAATTAATGGGTTGGTTGCTTATGACACTTACTGAATGGCGGGTTGTCGAAGCCCTCAAAATTAGTACTAGTCCCACAATAAAATATTTGTAGTAAAAGTGATACTAGGTCGAATCCCACAGGGAGCTAAATAATAATCTCATAGCTGAATGGATAATATAACTGAGTGAAAAAAATTAATAACTAAAATTAAAAGAATAAGAAAACAATAACAAACTAAACAAACAAGAGAAAATCAGTCTTACCGAATTCTGGTTCAAGGGTTCGGGTTGAATCGATTGGCCATCGATCCTAAGTAAATTTCAGCATTCTTGCAATTAAAAATAAATCTTGTGTTTTCCTAAATCAATTGACCAAACACAGCATTCGATCAACACTTATCATTAATCAACTGGGTATAGCATTAAGCTTTGTGAAAACAGTTAAACCAAAATAACAATAATTAAGATAGTTGCAATTATTGAATCTTGTTCCATCAGATCCCTTTAGGTTAAAACATGTCAATACATTGGTCAAAGGCTGTCACGAACGATTGACGCAGAAAGATAATAACCTAATTGCTACTTGTACCATTATTTGTGACAATTACGAATCACCGAACCATGGATAGCAGTAGGAACATCAACATTAATTCAGTTTGTCAGACTAATTAACATTAACATTCAATAAAAATATGCTCAAAAATCAATGAATACTTGAATTAAAAAGCAAGAAAATAAATTAACTACAGAACCTCACAATGACACAATCGAACCTCYCCCCTTGAACCAGAAAAAAAGAAGCTTAGTTGCTCATGATCTGCGCAATCTCCATGCTCTGCTTCTCCATGGCCGAACTGCTTTCTTGAGTTTCTTGATTTTCTTGATGATCTCTTAGATCTTGGAGTGAGTGATGCCTAGAGCCGGTCCGCCCCCTCTTTATATAGATGAGGGAGAGGGCTCTCTCCAACTCCTTCTAGGAGATTAACTCCAAGTCCTGATCTGTTTTGAACTAATCTTATCCTATCTCTTATCTAGTGATCTAATCCAATCTTCTTATCTTTACAGGATTACATTCAAAGTTTAAATCTAATAAGACTCCCTTTCTGGAGGTTACATTCGAAATTGGGACTCTAGGCTCTTGAATTCGAGTTGGGCTGCCTTAAGAACTTGGGCTGCTACAAGGCTCTTCTGCGATTTGGGCTTCAACTGTGGAATGGGCCTAGCTGTGAACTTGCTCCGACTTTGGGCCCGATTTCGTATTCGATGCAGACCGAATCTGTCAAAACCCAAAACATAAAAGTTGTGGGTCTTTCTTTTATCTTTTTGATGCCTCTCGAATCATCCAATTCGGAGTCCGAAATTGAGAGTTATGCCCAGATTACTAATTGTTGTCGAAACCGTGCAAAATCATCCAAATTGCCCTGTTTTCTTCCAATTGCCTTTTTTCTTGCCCTGAATCGAAATATAAGAGTAATAAGTTCATTTAAGTGTTAAAAAATGTAAAAGAGTGAATATTAAGGGATAAAAAGAGGGTTCTTTTTGGTCTCATCATTGAATCGATACTTGCACATGTTATTGGGTGCACCTCCTCCTGATCTGTATGGATAATCTTGAAGCAGTTGTATGCTTCAAAATCAAGAGTTCGGGTCATGCAACTTCATTTTGAATTGCGTAGTTTGAAGAAGGGAGCTCTCTATGTTCCTCAGTATCTTCAAAAAGTAAAGAATCTCACAGATAATCTTGCTGCAGCAGGTGAGCCTCTCTCTGACACAGATTATATTCTCACTATTCTTAGTGGGCTCGATTTAGAATATGAATCATTTATTACTGTTGTCACTACACGAGTTGATGCCTACACAGTGGAGGATGTCAAAGGTATGTTACTTAATCAAGAAATTCGATTGGGTCAAATCAAAGGCTCGCATGGTTCTCTTGATTCAAATTACCCAATTGCTAATATGGCTGTAAGGGGTAATGCTAATTTCAACAACATAAATGATTCTCGTAATTTTTCTAAGGGCAACAAATCTTACCCTCAATCTTCTAAACCTCAATACAAGTGTCATATCAGTTGGGGTAAGAATCACTCTGCTTTTAAGTGCAAGTAAAGTTTGACAAGAACTTTGAAAGAGAAAATTTTAAACAACAGAAGCAAGCCTTTCATGTATCTACTGACTCATCATGTGGTGAAGCTTGGTACCATGATTCAGGTGCAACGAACCACCTTACAGTTGATCTTGCCAATTTGAATGTGCATTCAGAATACACTGGCCCCGATCAACTTCGTATAGGCAATGGATCAGGTTTGCCTATAAAACATATTGGTTCTTCTATTATTCCTTCTTCATATCGAAATTTGCATTGAGAAATATTTTGCATGTTCCTCATATTACCAAAAATTTATCATCAGTTGGTCAATTTTCGGCAGACAATAATGTCTATTTTGAATTTCATCATCATGTCTTTTGTGTGAAGGATCTTCTCACCAAGAAAGTTTTTCTCCAAGGGGTGAATGAAGGCGGCCTTTACAAGCTCTCCAATTCACATAACATGGATACACATTCACCATTTTCAGCTGTTGGAGAGCGCACAAATATTGATGTTTGGTATAGGAGATTGGGCCATCCTGCACCTAAGGTGGTTCGTTCTATTATTAATAGATTTTGTCTACCAATAGATTCTCATAATAAGTTATAATTTTGTGATGCTTGCCTAATGGGCAAAAATAAAAAACTACCATTTTATTTTGATTCTACTACAATATGCTCACCATTAGAGGTTGTTTTCACAGATGTTTGGGGGCCTGCCCCGATAGCTTCTCCTCATGGCTATAGATATTATATTTTGTTTGTTGATGGTTTCAGTCGTTATTGTTGGCTATATCCTATGTCTCACAAATCTGATGCCCTCTCTATATTCATTAACTTTAAGCGCCTTGTAGAGAATTAACTTGACACAAAAATTAAGGCCATTCAATCTGATATGGGTGGTGAGTTTGTTAAGTTTCATGAATTTCTTCAATCCGAAGGCATTGCTCATCGATTTGCCTGTCCCCATACACGAGCATAACGGTAGAGCCAAGCGTAAGCATCGACAAATTGAAGCCATTTCACTGACCTTACTTGCCACGGCATCCATGCCCAAACATTTTTGGCTTGATGCCTCTCAAACTGTTGTTTATCTGATGAATCGGCTACCTAGTGTTGCAGTAAATGGTACATCTCCTCTTGAATGTTTATTTCACAAGAAGCCAAATTATTCTTTCTTAAAAATTTTTGGGTGTYTACGTTTCCCATGCATGCGACCATATAACAAGGACAAGCTGGACTTCAGATCTATACCATGTGTATTCTTGGGCTATAGCCTCCAACAACATGGCTATCGATGTCTACACATACTCACTAGGCACCTTTATATCTCTCGCTATGTAGTGTTTGTTGAAGAATCATTTCCATTTGCTTCTATGCAACTAACTGCTGCTCTTATTAAATCTTCTTTTGTGTTATTAGATGGGCCCTCAATTGTTACTTCTCAGCCCACTGTTCACAAAATAACTACCATTCCATCCACATGTGAGAAGGCCCACATTTTGGATATTGCTATGGCCCACAACACACTCTCATTATGATCACTTGACTGTAGTCATACCCCTTATTTCTAGAGGACTTGACCCCCCTAGTTCACTTGATAATCATGCAAATATCACCTCTGGCCCTCCCATCAATCCACTCAATACACATCATATGAAAACACGCCTCAAGAGTGGT